AATAGGTAAGGTATATTGCATTTTTTTTTTGTAAATATATAAAATAACATTCTGTCAGACAATAGTCGCTTTCACTACTGAAAATCTTGCCAAATATATGGCAGTGAATTCTTTTTTTTTAAATTTAAATTGATTTTTAAATTTTGTTTTATCCAGTTTTACAATTGATCCATGTTAATTTTTAGTCATGCTTTATTTTAGAATAGATGTGCTTCGTTTTTGCTTTTTAAAACAATTTTGTGCTTTTTAGTTGGTTTTAATATATTTTAAAATCCTAGCCCTACTCATGACAAATAAGATAGGTATCATCACAGTGACACAGTTGTACCATTAGTTTTGCGCAGTATGCTAATGTCCTTCAACTTCGGCTAATGTCATAGTTCTCCACTTCTGATTGGTTAATTTTGTTTCCCATCATGTTGTCACTATTAGCCAATTTCAATTTATCATCAGATTTCGAATTTTTGTGTTCACGATAATAATTATGAATTAATTTATAAAGAATACAGGTAGTTCAATACCTATAATCAGGGCCGTATTTAGGAATTTGACACCAAGGGGCAACAAAAAAAATACGCCTCATTAATCAGTATTCAAAATACAAATTTCAATTATGAAAAAATTAGCCGCCTTCCCCTACTCAGACGCCCGGGGCAACAGTGCCCTGTAGCTCCCCCCTAAATACGGCGCTGCCTATAATATTAAATAACAACAATCAATTTATACTATTATATACCGTGCTATATTTATATTATAAACATAATTTTTTATTTTATTTTAGAATAAACGGGCTGAGCCTTTTTGTACATGAACAAGAAAAAGATATTGGGTTTCAAAAGAAAGAAAATAAGAAAAGAAAAAAGAAAAGAAAAATATATATTATTAAGAGAAAGATACACGAAGGAGTTAATAGTTTCTTACAACACTATACATATAATAAAATTAAATACTTATAATTAACTACTATACAACTATATCTAATTATAATCAATAAATTAAGAATTTAATTTTCTATTTTTTAATTTTTTTCACGGTTTTTGCCATAGAGAAGTGTTGAATTTGAATTATTCAGCCAAATAAAAATTCTTGAAAAGCATTCTACTACGTATCAAATTTTATTCGGTGACATGAAAGTAGACGGGTAAGGTACACAGAATAAATCAACAGGTAACAAAATATTTTACGGATTACGATGATAAAATAGAGTTTCATAGGTCTTCAATATGAAACGATAAATTGATAACATTTTGTATTTACGCGGCAATGATAACGTCAGCCAATAAGAAGTGGAGACTACGATATAGGCGACGTGAAGAAATATTTGAGCGGGAGCTGCGAATCAAAAAAACTGTAATGAAACATATTTAATTTGTCTTAATCCTATCTACCTATAAACATCCTTACTATGCCACACGCGCGTCGTCGTCTTAAAAAACGATTGACGGACACGGCGAACAATTTCTATCAATTGAGCATAAAATATGCTTTACCATACGAATCGACTTTGAAAAACGCTTTTGTAGTCGTTGCTTCGCAAAGCTCACGAAAAGCTCCAATTAAAATTTGAGTCAACTTCGGACAAAAATCGGATTTGTCACTATCGCTGCTGGTTTTCTTGGGTACCTGTAGACGACCTGTGGCGCTCGTAGGCTTTTTATTATCTTTTAATTTTAAAGTGAAATATAAAATATAATTAATTAAAATATATATTCCTTATATAAGTATAATAGATATTCCTTTATCTCCATTCCTGACAGAAATAAAAATCTTATTAACCCCTCTAGCTATTCTGAATTATCCCTTCTCACCGTCTTTTAATAAACAAATTCACAACGCATTCCCCACAAGTTATTACAACCAATTACCAACGATTACATTCGACCTAATTATGTAATCCACACATCCTTATCTGTATATTAACGTTATTACTATTATTATATTCTTTGGGTTTTTTCTCCTATTCTGTACACTCAATATAATGATCCAATATTGTATTGTTCATTTAACTACGATGTATATTACAATATAATTGTCGATCTGTAATAGTTTATAGGTACCATTGATTAAATATACAATTTTATTATATTATAATTATATATTTAATCAATGTAGGGACTAAAAGCTAATAAAAAAAAAAAAAAAAATAAAAAGCCTGTGAGAAGTCCCAAATAATAATATCACTTTTAATTTTTATATAAGAGGTCAATTTTCATTCTCAATTTCAAACTAAACGTGATTTGCGTAAAATGTGCGATGTAAGACGGAGACAACACTTGCGGGCGTAGCGTCCTCTTGACATAAGGTTCGGCTGATGATGATCCGCAGATGAGCTCGTCAAGTCCCGGAAACTGTTTCGACGGCAGCGGCGGTTTGATACCTTTAGTGATTTCGACGTCACATATTATTATTATTATTTCTGTGGCGTACCTATTCGTTATTATTAAATCCGCTGACGAGTCAGAAAAACCGTGTCATGACTGTATAATTTATTATATATAGGTAGTATTATCTCCATCTTTGTACGCATAATATACTACACAGACGCAGCACAAAGTATATTCCTAATCGAGTTCCGCTGATGTCGACAAACGCTTTTAGTGTAGGTATATTACTGTTATTTTTTTAAATTTTTGTTTTTATTAATTTTCGCGTGGAAACATGCGCCATTGAGTGGTTATTTTTAGTAGTTTTTTCGGCTGTGAGGGAAGGTACAGTTGGTCGGAACACGTTTCTTGTATGACGTGTGGCAAAGATTTGTTGCTAAAAAGCTAGGTGGTCACCCATCCGGCTTCTAGAAACACCGGCCGGTACGTACACTCGGAGGTATTCCACAGTTGAGCTTACGATCACCTCACACCGAGTCATGTATACTACTATTGTTATATTTTTAACCGGAATTTATAAGAATGTAATACGAAGCCCCTAAAATGATGACTTTCGTAACAATAACCAAAATGCATAACCTTGTTTAATTCGATTTTTCTTTATTTCATATGCTGTGGTGTTCTTTTTTATTCTTCTACCTTTTTGGGTTTTCGTACTCAATCAAACAAATCATGTCGTAATATTTCCATACATCGTATTATTATGTTATCATATTATATACTGTACCTGATATTAATATCGCAAATAATAATGCAAGTCAATAACCTTAATTGTCGAGGCGACTTTAATTAATAATAATAATAATAGGTGATAAAAAAAATGACGTATTACTTACAATGTACCTACAGCCTAATTATAATATGCATATTTGTTAACACTACATAATATAGGACACGATGAATAATCAAACGCGTTGGAGGGCGGTTCGGAGATTACGAGAGGTCGTTGCTACATATTTAGTATAGGTATATAAATATAATATACATAATATATAACCACATGCACATAATAATATATGATTGTGATAATGCCGTTGAGTAGGTACTGTTTACAAACCGTGTATACAGGATGTCCCACAGAGATCTGACATTCTGACAAATGAAATAACTTTTGTTCTAATAAATATTTTTAAAAAATTCTTTTAAATATAATCCATAGA